GAGCCACTTCATTCCAGCCTAGGTGACAGCATAAAGACAGCTCAAAATATAACAATAATAAAATAAAATACATAGATAAAAAAGATTGGCAAACGCTCTCTTGTCTGAGGTGGTGAGCGCTTTCATTTTTCTAGAAGGGGCGGTTGCCATGGAGATGGTGTTGTGACAAGGTGGCTCGCCTAGGTATTTGTCCACTGCTGGCTTCCAAGCTCATGCCTATAATCCCAGCACTTTGGGAGGCTGAGGTGGGAGACTGCTTGAGGAAGGAGTTCAAGACCAGCCTGGGCAACATAGCAAGACTCTATCTCTGTTATAAATAAAATAAAATAAAATAAGAAAAGAATGTGTTGAAATGAGGTTACTGGTTTAGGTTTTTGTCCACTGCTGGCTTCTAGCCTCCCCCATCACACACCAACCAGTGAGTTCCCTGAGGTGGTGTGAAGGGGAGACGCTCTTGGAGTGGTTGGCCCTGGGGACTCCCACACTCTTCTGCCACCTGCAACAGGTGCTCTAAGTGAGAGCCTCGCTGTGGAGGTAGAACCCACGCCAGAGGACCTTGGGGTGCCCTGAAACCGGGCATCTCTCTTGCAGAGTCAGAGCAGACACCAGCCATTCTCTTGGGAACCAGCATCCCCATCTTCCCTTTCACCCATAGGAAAGGAGACATGAAATGTACAAAACCGTTCTAGAACATTCTTGCTGGCCTTGCCCCAGCTGCTACCAGCATGGCTGCACCCTGGATCCCCCTGACCCCAGCCACGTCCCCTCCCAGTGTCTAGCAGGTCAGTGGCATCTTAACCTACCTTCTCTAAAGATGGCGGTAGGCACTGGAACACAGAAGGGAAAAATAAAATGAGCAGGTGGTGTGGGAGTGGATTTCCAAGCCCTGTGCATATGTAATAGTTCAGTGCCCAGTACCCACATGAATACGGGTACACAGTTCACGCTCCCACCAGGCTGAAAGGTCTCAGTGGGAGGGAGGCCAGAAGTGGGGAGTCAGACAGAACTATGTGACACTGGGCATTACTTAACCTCTGTGAACCTCAGTCTCTCCATCTGTAAAATGGGAATCATGATAGCGCTGCTTTACAAGGCTGGTGTGAGAAGTACATGAAAAATACTCAGTCTGGGCCGGGTGTGATGGCTCACGCCTATAATCCCAGCTCTATAGGAGGCAGGAGATTGCTTGAGGAAGGGAGTTCAAGACCAGCCTGGGCAACATAGCAAGACTGTCTCTATTATAAATAAAATAAGAAAAGAAAAGTCAGGTTTGGTGCCTGACACAGAGGAAGCAACAGCTTTTTAGTGAATTGCTTGTTAAAAAGTCAACCATGGCCAGCTGCGATGGCTCATGCCTGTAATCCTAGCACTTTGGGAGGCTGGGGTGGGCGGATCACTTGAGGACAGGAGTTTGAAACCAGCCTGGCCAACATGGTGAAACCCTTTCTACAGGTGCACACCTGTAATCCCAGATACTCGGGAGGTTGAGGCAGGAGAATCTCTTGAAACGGGGAGGCGGAGTTAGCAGTGAGCCGAGATTGCGCCACTGCACTCCAGCCTGGGTGACAGAGTTAAACTGTCTGAAAAAAGAAAAGACAATCATGATTCCCATTTTCCTGTAGGGAAAATGAAGGCAGAGACATCAGAAAAATTGGCCAGAGGCTCACTGGAATTTACAGGCTGGCCTGGGACTAGAACCCATTTCTCCCAGCTCCTGACCTCAAGGCCTTTCTGCTGCAGCCCTGTTCTGAAGCCCCCACGTAGGACAGAGGCCCAGGATGGGGCTGCAGAGCCAGTCTCCCCCTGCACCCCAGCATCACAGTCTGTCCCAGCTCACTCCTGCTGGAGCCTCTGGTCCGTTTCCTGCTCTGCAGGATTAAACTGTTACAAGGTTTCCTGACTTTAAGCTCTTTCCCAGACCCGCAATTCTCACCCTCTGATATCTTTTCCAAGTTACAGGTTCTCCTAATCTTTATTCCCCAATGCTGACTAGACCACTGGCCCATTTGAGGGCTCTCAAATTAGAAAATCCTCATAGGTTAGTAAACAGGGTTGCAAGAACACAAGCTCTGTGATCCATGAATATGCAAAGCAGCTCCAGTCCTGTAAATAAAAGCAATCATTTAAATGCAAATTGCATCCTTGGCTGCCCGACCCACGGTGGTTGGTTCCTCTCAGGCTGTAATTCCGAGAAGAAAATGTGACTAACTCGGAACCCCCAGGAAGCTCTGCGAGAAAGTGCTTATGGGGCCGTGGGCTCCGGGTGGCTCAGTTAGGGTGGATAAAAACTGTTTCAAAGTAGGGAGTGGATTTTAAAACCTGAGCTGCTCCTCCAGTTGGCTTGCAGTGGCTGGCTAGGCTTGAAGCGGTCCCCCAAGGCTGGACAGAGCCCCTTGGAGGCTCCCAGCATCTCTCTCGCCCCATGGGCAGAATGGAAAGGGGGACTATTTTCCATCTTGTCAACGTCAGGGGAGCTTCTACAAATGAGATCCGAAGGCCTCCCGCTCAAAACCGTAGGAGGGTTCACTGGTCCAAACGAAATAAACCCTAAACTCCTTTCCGTGGCCCAAGAGATCGTGATCTGGCTGGTCCCCACCATTCCCCTGTCCCCACCCCCAAATCTGCCTACAGCTCCAGCCACAATGGCCTTTGTTCAGTTCCTCTAAGCTCATTCCCACCTCCAACCTTTTGCACGCACAGTGCCTTCCTCCAGGTTCAGTCTTCCCCCTAGACCTCCCCAGCGGCGCCCCTCTCTTTTAGCTGGGCTCCACTCAAATGTCGCTCCGCGAACAGTCTTCTCAGGTACATACACCCCTGTCACCTTCTTTTACATCACCCCCATCTTATTTTCCTGGCCGTCCTTATCCCAATCGGATTTCATATCCATTTGCTATGGGTTTGTTTAATGTTTGCCCACTCACCTCCCCAGCCCCGGGAGAGAAGGGGTCTTGTCCGTTTTATACAAGGCACCCAGTTCTGTCCCTGGCATGTTTCTTGAAATAACATATTAATCCAATAAAGATTCTGAGTTTATCTTTCTAACAAAACTGCCTATCTTGCTGCCTGTGCCCCCAAATGGCGGCTCCTTTCCCCTGGAATCTCCTTCCCTTCCCAACTCAGCTGACCCCTTTCCAGGCTTAGAGCAGGGAGCAGATAGGAAACTGTTCACTCCACAGTCTTAGATACCAAACTGGCCGGGAGGGCTTCCAAACGACAGATGCCAATTTGCATTCTATTTACATGTCATTTGCATGCAGTTTAACTCAAAGCCTGGATCCTTCGCAAGCCTCGAGTCCCCACCGAAGAAACTTCTGAATTAAGAAGGTTCCTTGGCTGAAGTGCCGGGGTTTTTGTGCCAGATCCCTCCCCCACTTCTCTTGTCTTTGCGGGACCCCCAGGGCTTTCTGGGCTCCGTTCAGGTGCCCCCCGGCCTGGTGCAGTTGGGCGGCCAATGTGGCGCGTGGGCTGGGGCCCCAGGCGGGGACGCCGCTGCCCGCCACACTCCAGGGGCCTTTGTCCGCGCTCCTAGGAGCCGCCCCCTTAGCGAACGGGGGACGGAAAGGGGGAACTGGCTAGGCCTGGGTGTGACAGAGCAAGGACTGAGGAGTGAACCCGCTGCACGGGGGAGACTTCTGGGGCAAGGTCGTTGGCCCCCTCCCAGGCTGTTTAACCTGCTGCCTGGTGCCAAGGCGGGTGCGGGCTCCTCCAGCGCGCTCCCTTTCCGGCCCAAGCCCTAGGGACCCCGGGATGTGTGGGGTCCTCGTGGGGCTGGAATCCTGTGTCCCCCAAGGAGAGGGGACAGAGCAGAGGTCTAGTCCTTATCCCCAGCCTAGCCGCCTCTCCCAGAGGTCCAAGTGCCCCCTGTCTGGAAGGGAAACGCCACTCCCCCCGCCGCGCCATTGTATGCAGCCGCCCCCTCCTCCCTACCCCTCCCCGTCATTGGTCCCCAGCCCAGGTCTCAGCTCTGCCCTCTTCCCCCGCCATGTCCCCGCCTCCCCTTGCTGAGTAATGCGCACTCAAGCCGGCTAAGGGCTTGACCCCCAGCCCCCGCGACAGGTGCTGCTGTTCACCCACAAAGTCCAGCCCTTGTGCCCCCGGCTGCGTCTGCCCCGTCCACAGTCAGCCCCCCCACGCGGCCCCAGGACCAGCCCGCAGCTCCTCACCACGAGTCACTAGGACATGGCTGGGTTCCTTTACGCTCCCCAGCTGCCCTTCACCTGTGGTCGCCCCCAGACCCTCCTGGGAGACTTAGATCTCTACCTGATCCAGGCACAGTCCCCCTCTCCCCGTAAAGGTCCCCAGACCCTTCCCTCTCCCGCCCACCCCTCTACGGCTCCGCTCCCGACGCACCGTGGTTCCCCTCGCCCAGATCCCACATCTCCCAATGAACTCCCTGGCTGGGGTTGGGGGGCCGCTTAGAAAAACACAAGAAGCAGACCCCCCAGTCCTCCCAAATCCACGGCGGGAAAAGTTTCTGGGGTCCCCACAGCGTCCTCCACCGCATCGGCGCAGCTCGCACTCACCGACCCCCGCGGCCCCGCAGCGCCAACGCTCCAGCTGGCCCTCGGCCCGAGTCACATCTCTGCAGCGCGGCCGCGGCCCCCGCTCCACGCACGCCCGCCTGCGGGTCCAGCTTCACTGCAGCGCCTGCCAGAGTCGCTGCCGCGCGAGGCGCCCCCTGGCCCGGCCCGCGCTGCTGCAGCGGCCGCGGCCCCGCCCCTGCCCCTCGGCCGGCCCCGCCCCCGGGCCTCCGAGCCCCACCCCCAGTCCCGCTGGCGGTTCCGCGCCGGGCTAGGCGCCGTCTGCATGCACCCTCGGAGCCCAAGCTCGTGGCTTCTAGCCCGGATCGCTGAGACGATCCCCCCCCACCTCCCGTGTCCCCAATTCGGGGACATTCCCCCCACAACCACAGTGCGCCCAGAAACAATCCAGACGAGCCGAGCAACTCCCCAGGGTACATCCTTTTGCGGGAACACCCCTCCCCCAGCCAATACACTTACCGAGGGGTATCGCGACCGAGGGGTACCGAGGGGTCCCAGCGCAGGAGCCTTCCTGCCCCCAGGCCACACTCCAAGATGGGTTCATAAGCAGTAACTTCCCCGAAACACACCAGCACCAGGGCCAGGACGCAGAGAGGATCGATCCCGCCGGGTGCCTTCGAAGTCACCAACACCCCGGTATGCACCTAGGGGCACACACACCGCTAGGCCTCCTCTAGGCAGTTTCCTCCTGGACACACTCTTCTCTCTCCTCACTGCCCACCTCCCAGGTGTCCTTGTCCCTTTACGCACACTGAGTCTGACACCCGCGTCCTTCGCCCCTCCAAACACACACGTCCACACAGTGCACCCCTCACGTGGGTCCCTACGCAGGATGGCTACCACCCCTACCGCACACATCACCCACGTACGCCCACGTCCACCGCCCTTCAGGGCGCACATACTCAGTGGCTCAGGCCACTGGCTGTGCGCTCCGCAGACGCTCAGGGCACAGCCAGGACGCGTGTCCGCTGGGCGGCCGTGGGACCTGCTTGAAGGAGGGGTCCGGGGCAACCTTCCGCCTCGGCACTGAGTTCCCCTCACCCCTCCTAGTCCACAGGCCTCTCCGAAGTCGGCATTGCTTCGATCAGGCCTGGGAGCTGCGCTCCGGCACCCCCTATAGAGCTGGTTCCCTGGGTGACCTTCAGACCAGCAAACCCGAGCAGTCTCAGGTGGCCCCCCTGCCAAAGCCAGAAACAGACCTTTGAGCAGCATCCCTTCCCCGCACTCCAGATTCTCAGGGTGAGATTTCCTTTCCCCCTCCGCAGCCCCCCACCCCGTCCCCGCCCCCATCGCCGCAACCATCCCAGTCACACAAGATACCAAAGGGAGAGGACGGACCTCTCCCGGGGGCTGCAGGATGGTGAGATGCAGAAGAACACTCCCTTCTGGGAATAGTTGCAGCCCCTGATCTTTGGGAACCGTAGCCCTTCCAGATACTCCCATCCCTCCCCGCCAGCCTCCCAGTTCCGGTCCGGTTAGGCCACATCCCCCTTGGGCACGCATCTCTGGGATACCTTTTATTATATTCAAGGGAAAATGGAAGGGAAGAACCATAATGGTAGTTTTTCCCCCACCCCTGGTTTATTTGCATGGATCCTCGGAGCCTAGAACAGTTCCAGTCACACAGTAGGCGCTCATTAAACGTTTGTGGGACGACCCTTTCCTAATGTGTTCCCGCCAGCCTGCTCAATTGGAAAGTGGATGGGCACTGTCACCTGGTGGCAGCCCTTGGAACTGACGCCGAGATCCTTTCGTAAACGTGGGCAGGTTCACTTTTGTGAGCCACATGTCCTCAGTATCTGTAAAATGGAGATCTTTTTCATCGCACACGCCTATTGGAGTTGTTGTGAAAGTCTAACACATGTTACATGTAAAGTGCTTCACGCAGGGTCTGGCATGTGGAAAGTCCTTAATATGAACTGGTTAACATTGCAGTTACGGTTATATTCCCTTTCCCACTTGTTTTACAGAAGACCCTGACTGTGATGGTCAGTTCCGCTTTGGGTGATGATACCACAGGAAGCACAGAGTGAAAATGAAGGAGGACGCTGAGTGGCAGGTGCATTCCTTCCCTCCAAAAAGTTCAAACACCCGTGGATGATAATAATAATAGCTGAGTACATAGTGCTTCCTGTGTGCCAGGAGCTATTCTAAGTGTTTTCAATTCTTTAACTCATTTAATCCTTCCAGTTACCCTTGAAGCCAGACACTGAGGCCAAGAGGCCTCAGTGTCTCCATATGTAAAATAGGGAGTACCGCCCTGGGGTTAGACGGTTGGTAAAGACAGAATCCAATCCGGTCCATCTGGCTCCGCAGGCCATATTATCAACCAATGGTTAAACTGGTGTCATCCGCTGCCAGGTCGGACATTGTCACAGAGGAACCTCATCTCCCAGGAGAGCTCACTGGGTCTCCAGCCTTGGAGAGAATGGCTCCAGGAGGTCCAGGGAGCTATGTCAGGCTCTCAAGTGCCCAGTTCACTTTGTCTAATGAAAACCAGTGGCTTCCCTGGCACTATCCTCACACTAAAAAACCCGTGGCTTCCCTGGCACTAAATGGTCAGTGCACTACCCATGGCTTCCCACTGACAAATGTCATGGTACGTGTATTTGTCCATTTTTCATACTGCTATGAAGAAATACCAAAGGCTGAGTAATTTATAAAGAAAAAGAGGTTTAACAGACTCAAAGCTCCACATGGCTGGGGAGGCCTCACAATCATGGTGGAAGGTGACGGAGGAGCAAAGGCATGCCTCACATGGTGGCAGGCAAGAGGGCGTGTGCAGGGAAACTGCCCTTTATAAAACCATCAGATCTTATGAGACTGATTCACTATAATGAGAACAGCATGGGAAAGACCTGCCCCCATGATTCAATTACCTGCCACTGGGTCCCTCCCATGACACATGGGGATTATGGGAACTACAATTCAAGATGAGATTTGGGTGGAAACACAGCCAAACCATATCAGTGTGTAATCAGGTATTTGCGTGGCTCTCTGCTTGGTGTCTGTCTCCCCTACAAGACTGTATCTCAGTGCTATCCAATCTACACTGTCTGATAACAGCAGCCACTAAACATGTGCCCACCGGGCACTTTATATGTGACTAGTATGACTAGAGGATTGAACTTTCAGTTTTTTTTGAGATGGAGTCTCTATTGCCCAGGCTGGAGGGCAATGGCATGATCTCGGCTCACTGCAATCTCCACCTCCCAGGTTCAAGCGATTCTCCTGCCTCAGCCTCCCGAGTAGCTGGGATTACAGGTGTCTGCCACCATGCCTGGCTAATTTTTGTATTTTTAGTGGAGATGGGGTTTCACCATGTTGGTCAGGCTGGTCTCAAATTCCCAACCTCAGGTGACCCACCTGTGCAGGCTTCCCAAAGTGCTGGGATTACAGGCCTGAGCCACTGAGCCCGGCCTCAGTTTTATGATTTAAATTTAGGCCGGACATGCATGATGACTCACATCTATAATCCAGCACTTTGGGAAACTGAGGTGGGAGGATTGCTTGAGGCCAGGAATTTGAGGCTGCAATGAACTATCATTGCACCTTTGCTCTCCAGCCTGGGTGACAGAGTGAGATTCTGTCTCTTAAAATAAATAAATAAATAATAAATAAATAAATAAATATCAATAACCACATGTGGCTACTGTACGCATAGCGTATCTTTAAGCTTGATGAGGACAAGAACTATGTCTGTTGTTTATCCTGGCATCCTGTGCATGGCACAGGGCATGGCTCATTGAATATTTGTTTACTAAAAGAATAATTAACTTTGGGAGGTCAAGGTAGCAGGATAGCTTGAGGCCAGAGAGTTTGAGACCAGCCTGAGCAGCATAGGGAGACCTGTCTCAAATATTAAACATTAGCCAGGCGCGGTGGTGTGCACTTGTAGTCCTAGCTGCTCAGGAGGCTGAGGTAGGAGAATTGCTTAAGCCCAGGAGGTCAAGGCTGCAGTGAGTTGTGATGGTGCCACTGCACTCCAGCCTGGGCGACAGTGCAAGACTCCGTCTCAAAAAAAAAAAAAAAAAAAAAAAGAAGAAGAATTGAATTCCAGCTTTTCTTTCCCCTTTCAAGTATGTCTATTCTGTGTCCAGACCTTTCGCGATCCTCTTGTCTCAGCTAATAAGCAGAGCATCTCCCCAAGGAATGTGGCACTCAGGGCTTTGGAGTTGTCAAAGTCGATTTCCATGAATCATCTTGCCTAAACAACAGAACCTTCTGAGGTCAGTGTCTGTGTCGCATGTGGTAAAATGAGGCTTGGGAGTGTTGAGGGACTGACTTTCCCTTGATCTCACAGCTGTATGCGTCAGAGGTGGGACTCAAACCCAGTTACCCATGGTCTTCTCACTTCCCACTGTGGTCCCAGGGCCTGACCACAGGACCTTGGCAGGGTCTCCTCCGTGCCAGGCTCTGTGCCTGAACTCGTTGGTGGTCCCTAGATGGATAAGATGTGATCTTGCTCTCAGGGTGCTCCATGTCAATGGAGGAGGTTGATCTTCTCAGTAGAGTGTGAGGGGGGTTAGCACAGGGCACTGTTGAAGGACCTCTGTCTTAGTCTATTTTGTATTGCTATGAAGGAATACCTGAGGCTGGGTAGTTTTGTTTTGTTTTTTTTTTTTTGAGATGGAGTCTTGCTCTGTCACCCAGACTGGAGTGCAATGGCATGATCTCAGCTCACTGCAACCTCCATCTCCTGGCTTCCCCAAGCGATTCTCCTGCCTCAACCTCCCGAATAGCTGGGACTGCAGGCACGTGCCACCATGCCCAGCTAAGTTTTCGTATATTTAGTAGAGACAGGGTTTCACCATGTTGGTCAGGCTGGTCTCAAACTCCTGACCTCAAGTGATCCACCCACCTTGGCCTCCCAGCATGCGGGGATTACAGGCGTGAACCACCACATGTGGCTGGGGCTGGGTAATTTATAAAGAAAAGAGACGTCTTGGCTCACAGTTCTGCAGGCGCGTTTGACCCCAGCATCTGCTCGGCCTCTGGGGAGGCCTTAGGAAGCTTCTACTCATGGTGGAAGGTAAATGGGGAGCTGGTGTGTCACGTGGCGAGAGAGAGAGAGAGGGGGAGGGAGGGAGAGAGAGAGAGAGAGAGAGAGAGAGAGAGAGAGAGAGAGAGAGAGATGCTGGGCTCCTCTAATCAGCCAGCTCTTGTGTGAACTAACAGAGAGAACCCACTCATTACTGTGAGTCACTCATGAGCGATCCATCCACATGACCCAGACACTTCCAACACTGGGAATCACATTTCAACATGAAATTTAATGTGGACAAATATCCAACCCATATCAACTTCCTACCTACATTCTTTGCTTGGCTAGGCTGAGAAGGGTTCCAGGCTCCCTTGAGACTCCAGCACTTGATAGTCCCCTTAGAGCAGCAATGGGGGACACTTCAGGCTGTTGGCATTTCTGGAAGCATCTTTGGGGTGAGCAGCCAGGAGCACTAAGTAAACAAATGTGGAACACACCATTGCCACCATTCCACTATTTTGTGTCCATGACAGACATCACCAATTGATTGCTGCACTCTTTTCTGCTTTTAATGCCCTCAGTCTGTAAGTGTAACTGCCCATTAAGTGTTAGAAAATTCAGGCTGGGCACAGCGGCTTACACCTGCAATCCCAGCACTTT